CCCCAAAACCCCAAAACCCCAAAACCCCAAAACCCCAAAACCCCAAAACCCCAAAACCCCTTTTTGAGGCAAAATTTTGACTAAAAATTAAAATAAAAAGAATGGCTAAGCATGCTGTGTATATCCGGTTTAGCTCAGAGACCAATTTCGAGTCTCTAAGGTTCACTTCACACAACATGAATTATGACGATATAATAGACCATCTCCAAAAGAAGAAGAATATTAAGGTTGGACCAGACAAAGACGAAATTGAGCTTATAGATGCCCTACGTAAGACCAAGTACAGCAAGGAGGATGGCATCATCGACCCTGGTACCAGAATCATTATAAAGAGGTATCCTGGGACAAAGCTTGGTGAGATCAACGTCAAGAATAAGAAAGCCCTCTCCAAGGCCCACCTGGAAGAGAGTAAAGATCAGATCCTTGATCCTTCGGAGGATATCCAATCTAATAAGGACAGCATTGAGGATGAAAAGACCGAAAATCTTAAGGTCATGAAGCTCCAGTTTGACCTCCCTGAGAAGGTCATCAACAACCGTAAGAAAGAAGATGACGGAACTATCGTGGACACTGCTGGGAAGATACCGACTTCACACCAAGTTCCAGATGAATGCCTTTGTGATATCTGCCAATGTCTCTTATTAAAGCCGTTCATTCTGACCTGTTGTACCAAATCTGTTTGTAAAATGTGTGAAATGAGTAAGTTCAACCTTGAAATTACCCCCAAGTGATACTTCTGTGGCACTCAGGAATTCAAATTAATCCCAAATCTCCAAGCAAACATGTGCATAAAATCAGTGTTTAACAGGAAAGAGACGATTCAGAGCAGCATCGAAGCAGATAAGGCTAACAAATACGAGCTGTTCAAGGACCTTACAAGGATTATCAAAGAGAAAACCAAAGAATACAAGGAAAAGAACATCCCAATTGAGGATGATTCTGAAATAGCCAAGTCCTTCATGAAGGAGATCCTAGTCCCTTCAGTTGGTAAGTCCGCCCAGCTCATAGTTTAGCTAACAAATTCAGACTGTTCAAGTCTAAAGATATCATGAAGTACATGGGGAAGACTAAGATATGCATCCCACAGCCTATCCACTCGCATGAGAATTTCTCTGGGCCTGACAACACTTTCTTCCTGTTCCTTTCCAGTGAAACTCAGAAGCTGCAGGGTCTCATCAAGCTAGATGCTGAGATAAAGAAGGATAAGAACAAGGAAAAGCCAAAGTATAAATTTAAGATTGGCGCTAAAGACTTCAAATACACATGGAAGATTCTCTGTGACTGTGACGAAGAGCTAGCTCTCTTCCCAGATGACAGCATCTGTAAGTGCAATTTAGCCTAACTCTCTATAGCTAAACTCACACAGAAGCAAGCTGCTGATTACGTCACTAAGATGCTTCGTAGTGAGATTGAAGAGGAAAACAGGGTTGTCGACCCTGAACAAGAGCCTACAAAGTTCATCAAAGTAAGTTATTTCACTAAAATTTACCATAATTCCCTTATAGTCAATAAAATGGATGAACAAAGATCTTAAAACATGGATCACAGATGAGAGGATCTTCCCTGACATAAGTCATCAAGGCAATCAGGAAGAGAGCAAAGATCCGAAAGCAGGTAAGCCTCCTACGTTGGAGCTTCAATGAAAGCTTTTAGACCCTAATCGTAAGAACTCAGCTGTCGATGAACAGGACTTTTACGATGATATTGAGATGGACCAGCAAAAACACACCAACCTCAAGCCACAAGGTAATTTCCAGCGAGTTATCTATACAGAAGATTCCAGAGGTCAATCAGACCATGAACGAAGAGCTCCAGAACCCAAGTCAGGAGCAGGTGGTGTCTCCGACTCAAAGAAACGTAGCGGCAGAAATAAGAGAAGAAAAAGAAGACGTAGCAAGGACTCTGCAAACAGGTCCAGATCCTCTAGATCCCCTTACAAGCGCTCTTCCCGAGACCGCAGGTCAAGGGAGAAGAAATCGGCTGATCCAAAATCTCCTGACAGGAAATCTCCTAGAGAAAGTCGCAAAGACCATCGTAGAGAAAGGGATTACCGCAGAGACAGAGATGATCGTCGTGACAAAGATGACCGTAGAGACAGGGACGACCGCAGGTTATCCAAAAGAGACTATCGCAGAGACACCAAAGAGGCAACTCATCCGGACAAAAGAGAGCGTGACAGAAGTGACAGGAGAGACAAAAAGAGGCATAGAAAGGATGACAGAAAGAGAAGGGATAACAACTAGATAATTATTTGCCTAAATAAATCTTCCAACATTTGTTAAGACCCAATTATTTCTTTCAACTTTACATACAGTCTTGGGGTTTTGGGGTTTTGGGGTTTTGGGG